GTTTCCACGTGCACCTCCTGTGTTATGAACGAAACGGCCACCGTTTGGGAGGTGGGAAGTCACTGTATTTATCTGTGAACGTGTTGTCTTGTGCTGTTGGCCTTCTTCTCCTCAGTTGTGAGGACTGTCTGTGGCAGGTTCGCTTGAGTGCAGACTTGTGGATGTTCAGGTCCAAGTGGCTTGTTGACTGATGTGCTCCCCTCCAGGCCACCGCTGGGGGCGGCTGCCTCGCCTGCTGGGCCGGGGTCTCCGAGCGGACTCCGCCTTCAGCTCTCTGGGCGGTGCTTGGGCCAGGGCCTTCGCTCCATCCCCCAGCGCACCACTCCTCTCTCCAGTAGTATACACATTTTTATTGTGCCCGGCTGGTGTGGCTCAGTGGTGGAGCGCCGACCCTGCACCAAGAGGTCGCCGGTTTGATTCCCAGTCAGGGCACATGCCCAGGTTGTGGGCCCGATACCTAGTGTGGGGCATGCAGGAGGCGGCCAATCCATGTTCTCGCTCATCCATGTTTCCATCTCTCTCTCTCTCTCTCTCCCTTCCTCTGTCTCTAAAATCAATAAAGAAAAAAATTTTTTTTTTAATTTATTGTGGCAAAATACACATAACGTAAAATCTATTTTCTTAACTTTATTTAAACGTACCTTTCAGTGGTATTAAGTACATTCATATTGTGCAACCAATACCACCATCCACCTCCAGAACCCCTTCATCTTACAGAACTGAAACCTAAACAGTAACTCCTCACCTCCCCTCGCCAGGCCCCCGGAACCCACCCTGCTACGTCTGTCTCTCTGCTTTTGACAACTCTCAGTACTGCATATAAGTGCAATGATATGGTATATTTGTCTTTCTGTCACTGACTTATTTCACTTAGCATAATGCCCTCAAGTTTCACCCATATTATAGCATATGTCAGAGTTTTCTTTCTTCTTAAGGCTGAATAATATTCCATTATCTGTATATACCACATTTTGTTTAGTGTGTTCACCTGTGGGTGGACACAGGTTGCTTCCATATTTAGCTACTACGAGCAATGCTGCTGTGAGTGAGCGTGTACAGATACCTCTTGGAGTCCCTGCTCCAATTCTTTTGGGTACGTACCCAGAGGTGCGACACATGGCGGTTCAGTGTTTAAATACTGTTTCCCACAGTGGCTGTCTCATGTCAGAGTCTCACTAACAGTGCACAGAAGTCCCAGTTTCTCCATATCCTTGTTATGTTCTGTTTTTTGTTGTTGTTGTTTTTGTTGTTTTTTAATATTACTGGTCCTACTGGATGTAAAGTGATATCTCATTGTGGTTTTGATGGGCATTTCCCTAATGATTAGCGATGTGGATCATCTTTTCATGTTTTATTGGCCATTTGTATATCTCACCTCTTGAATAGACATGTCCATGTCTATGTCTATTCAAGTCCTTGCCCATTTGTGAATTGGATTGTTTTGTTGTTGTTGAGTTTTGCGCATCCTCTACCTATTCTGAATATTGGTACCTTATCAGACATGAGTTGCAAATATTTTCTTTCACTCCATAGGCTGTCTTGTCACTCTGTCGATAGAGCTCATTGATGTACAATGTTTTCAATTTTCATGAAGTCCAAGTTTTCTATTTAATTTATTTCTTTATATTTATTTTTTGGTTAATCCTCACCCGAGGATATTTTTCCACTGAATTTTAGAGAGAGTGGAGGGAGGGAGGGAGAGAGAGGGGGAGAGAGAGAAACATCGATGTGAGAGAGACACATCGATCGGTTGCCTTCTACACGACCTTGACTGGGGTCGGGGATCGAACCTACAGCCTACATGTGTGCCCTTGGCCCGAATCGAACCACAGACCTCGGGATGACACTCTAACCGCGGAGCCAAACCGGCCAGGGACAACTTTTCTGTTTTAACTTTTGTTCCTGTGTCTTTGGTGTCATAGCTGAGAAACCATTGACAAGCCCGGTGTTGTGAAGCTTATGCCATATGCCTTCTTTGAAGAGTTTAATAGCTGTAGCTGTTTCATTTAGGTCTTTGATGCATTTTGAGTTCATTAGGTAAGGGTCCAGCTTCATTCTTTTGAATGTGAACATCTGGTCTCCCCAGCACTGTTTGTTGAAAAGATTGCCCTTTCCCTATAATGGCCTTGGCATCCCTGTTGAAATCCTTTATCCACAGATGTGAGGACTTATATCCGTGTTCTCTAGTCTACTTCATTGGTCAACATGTCTGTCCTCATGCCAACACCACACTGTTTTGATTAATGTACCTTTATAGAAAAATTTGAAATCATGAAGTATAAGGCCTTCAGTTTTGTTTTTCATTTTCAAGATTGTTTTAACTATTTGGGGTCCCTTGAGATTCCATATACATTTTCGAGTGGATTTTTCTATTTCTGCAAAATAAATAAATAAATAAGTAAATAAATAAAAATCATTGGGATTTTGACAGGGATTGCCCTGGCTCTGAAGATTGCCTTTGGCGGGATTGGCATTTTAACCATATTAAGTTCTCCGATTCACGAGCACGGAATGTCTTCCATTCACGTACGTCTTCTTTCATTTCTCTCCGCGATGTTTGGTCGTTTCCATTGCGCGTCTTTCGCCTCCCTGGTTAATTCCTAAGGATTTTATTCTTTTTGATGCTCTTGTGAATAAAATTATCTTCTTAGTTTCCTTTCCAGATTGTTCATTGGTAGTGCATAAAAATGCTCCAGTAGTGTTTAATCTGGGTTTTAACCATTTCATTTAGTTTTCTATTTCAGTAACTATATCTGGTGATATAGTTATATTCTTATATTTTTAACGAGTGCTTTGATTTTTCAAATCATCTTAGTTATCCTTATTTATAGCCTTTTTGTTCTTGGTTTCTAATCTTTCTCTTCATTGTCTGTATTGAGTTTCTCATGGCCAACTGTTTTTCAGTGGTTTAAAAAATTTTAAGTTTTAAACTGACTTTCAACAAGCCACTAAATGTGAGAATTGTGTGTGGTCTGTATAGAGAGATTCTCTCTCCAGAAAAGTTTTGGGTTTGCTACTGCCAAATACCCTAGGGGCACCACCAGCCTATGTTTATGTTAATTTATCAGCACCAGAATTTCTCAAACTAATTGGGTAGCATGTATTTGGGCCTCCATTCCCCAATGAGGTAGATCTATGACTATGAATTTTCAGGGGAGACATCTCCCCCATCCTGATCTGAGACGGGCAGACAGGCTTCCTCGTGATCTTCCTGGACTGGTGAGTCATGGTTTCTGAGCCTGTACTTGAGCTGAGACTGCAGGCCTCAAGCATCCCAAAAGGTGGTCTCCGTTCCAATGCCCTGCTTCACGTGGCTGCAAAACCTCCCTCCAGTCCCTGTTGGCCAAGGCCCCCTGGAGAGCTCGGATGGCAGCCTCGCCCAGGCCTTCCACAGGGGGCGCTCTCTTGCGGCTCGACCTCCAGTTCTCCCCACTGTCCGGACATCCGTGCAGCTTCAGGTGGGTACTCCTCGGACCCTCACACATGCTACATCTTCATGCTCCACTCAGAAACTCCTTTTTTGCTCTGTGCGCTCGGCCACTCACTTCCCGTCTCGGAGCCCAGCTTCTGTAGAATGCAGAGACCACAGGTCTGCCTGCCTCTGAGGAGTTATCCAGGGTGTTGAACTAAAATTAAATGTAAACTGACCTGCACACTTACTGTGGAGGTTAGCGTGACCTTGATCGTTCAAGGAGTTATTGAAGGAATGCACAGAAGGATCAGTGTAATACACAAGAGAAAGTATTCATACAGTAAAAATGTTTTACCAAACTCACTCCCAAATTATGTCTTCAAATTCTCCACCCCCCAAAACCCCAAACCCTAACAATTGAAGAGTTCTTCCTAAAATTGATAACTATATATTCCAACACAATCTCCATTATGTCATGCACAATGGAGAAAATCTGACCTATTTTCATTAAAATCTGTAATAAGACAAGAACTCTCACCCACTTCCTTCAACATCTCGTCCTGGTTAAGCAGTTCAGAAAGAAATAAAATTAAACAAAAAGTTAAGGAAAATAAGGGAAATGAGTTGGCTTTCGTTTGGCTCCACGATTCATTTTTCTCCACAATTCAATGACCAGCTCTCCGAGGCCAGAGCTGATGTGCGGTGCGTTGATTTAAACCCAGGACAGTACCCAATCTAGAGTTGGTGGTAGACACTAGCTTACAAAAGGCGTAGGAAGCAGTGAAGATAAAATAAGATCCACGTGTGGAAACGACTGTGCACATGTTAGAGGTAATTTTTCATGATATCATTCATTTCAGAAGGCTGGACGTCTTGGCATTTTCTCCCCAAGCGTCCAAGCCCCCGGCCCGCGAGGTCCCCCGCCCTGAGCCGCCTTCCTCACGCCGGCCAGCAGGTGGCGCTCGGCCTCCACCGACATGACCTCAAGGGCCGCCAGGCTCGTGGCGAAGTCCCCTCTGAACGGGGCTGCTTTCCCTCCACGCTGCTGCCGCTCCAGGTCCTCGGCTCCCAGCGACCAGGCAGGTGCTCGAGGGCCCCGTCCCGCCAGCACGGCTTCCCCGGGAAAGCCAAAGGGCCGATAGCCCGGATCAGTCCCCTCGCCACCGAGCCAACGGCCAGGCTTCCCTGAGGCTGGGGACGACTAGGACTGGTGTCTGCGCCCCCTTCCGTTGTCCCCAGAGGAAAGGACAGGACTGGGGGCAGTGACCGGTCCTTGAGCTTCCTGCCCTGACCCTGCGGGGACCCAGCCCTGTCGTGCAGGGCGCTGGCTGGGCTGGACAGATGGCTGGACGTCAGGTGACAGGTCTGAAGGGTGGCCAGCATCGGGATGAACCCCCCCATTCAGGCCCAGATCCCAGCCAAGCCCGCTTCCCTGGGAGTATGATTATCAACAACAACGACGACCCTGGGTACTGGGCCCATTCAAAGCACAGGCTCACCTGAGGGGGTCTCCAGCTGCCCAAGCCCTGCCCTACCCCGCCCCGGGCTCCCCCACCCCAGCAGGGGCTCCGGGGTAACGGATTCCATTTCAGAGCCAGAACCGGTGGGTTCACCCAAACACCTGCTGGGGTGGGCTTGAGTGGCCCCAGATGAGACACCCATCCCTGCCCGCAGAAGGCCTTCCAGAACCTACTACTCCCACCCTCACACACCTAGGAAAGTATCTTCCAAATTGAGACTCTAATTAAGTATATGAATGCATGGGAATTTTAGAGACGTATCTACATTAAGTATCCATTTTAAAGCAGGGTCCAAATGTTGCCACATGAGGGCTGCTGTAGCAATAGCAGGCAGGTATTTTTCTCCTCTGCCTCCCTCCTCTCCTTCCCTGGGAGTCCAGGGGTGCAGTCAAGGGTGAAGGGCGATCTAATAGCCACCTGCGCTGGAAAGTGGGCCAGGCCAAGCCCGGCCTCCCGGAGCTGGGTGCCTGCAGGTGGGGAAGCACAGGAGGGCTGTGGAGGCCGAGCCCTCAGGCCCTGCAGCAGCTCACTTCCAAGGCACAGTCACCAGCAGTGATAACGAGGGGTCTCTGCCTTTCCCCTAACTGTCGTATCGTGTTCTGAATTTCCTGGAGCCTTTTCTCTTCCGATACACGGGCAGTTTCATTTACTCCAGAAGTGTCTTAACTCCTACCCAGACAGTTCTTGCAGACTCCATTTATTTGGAATGAGCTAACTCCTAGGCTTTACTGCCACAGCAATTCCCTCTTCGTTGGAAATTGAGCCGCAAGGCACAGAACTAATTTTCCCTGTGGGACCACGGGACACTTCTGTGTGTATAACTTTCCCAGCCGTGGCCACACATCCGATAAGATTCTTTGCACACAAGCTCTGAGGCTTAGAGGGTGGTGGCAAAGGGTGAAGGAGACAGGGTTAAATAAAAGGGAGAGAGAGACAGACAGAGAGAGAGGAAGAGAGATCTGAAAAACCATTCCGAATTCAGATGTTGACTCCAGACGTGTTTTATTATAATCTTATACAGTCTACACAAATTTGAACTTGATTTGGGTTCAGTATAACATAGCATAATAAAAACCAAAGCCCTGGTCCCCTGAAAGAAAGCAGGCAATCACCACTCAAGAAACACACTTGATTTATTTTGTATAAAAGGGTTAAGTTTACAACTAAACTTTTATAAAAAGTTTAGCATGAATAAGTACATCATTACTTTGTATGCAGAAATATACATCTCTGCCACTATACAAGAAAACTCTAATTAAAGAGTTCACAAGGTTTCACTCTCTCTATATATTTATATATAAATATATACACAGCATTCAGTAGGCTTGCGTCAAAAAGGTAATTTCTGACCGAAAGACTTCATTTAAGTAGCTGAATACTGGATCCTTCAGGTATTCACGCTCCACCTTTGAAAAAGGCAAAGTCTGCTTAAATTGGGCAATTCCTCGTGATTTTAACGTTTTCGTTCCCCATGGTGGGAATAGTATATAAAGAAAACCTTCCAACTGCAGAAAGGGCATTAAAAGTCTTTTTCATAAATAACTAATATCACAGTCCAGGTCAGAGACACCCTGGGGAAGATGATCTGATCCTTCTTAGTTTTGCTTCCATTTTTTTAAAAAGGTCCATTCAACTGGTTGTCCTCCTTGTGAAATGGTTAAAAAATAAGTTCCTGTGGACTTGTTGTTGTGCAAAGGGAAAAAAAAAAAAAAGTCATGAACACCTGCAAAAGATTGCGAGAGAAAGGCCAGTTTAGGAGAATGCAACCTAAGGGCAGCGGCGGGCAGACTGGCGCCAGGAGGAAGCCACAGTTTGAACATTTAACCAAACACTCAAAGATTGGGCAAACCCTGGCGTCCAGATTCAACACACACACTCAGCCTCCACAGCGCAAATCAAACATTAAAATAGCAGAGACTCCCGGGAAAAACTTCCCAACGCAATCTTGTTTGGATCTCCAGTGGCAGTGCTCACAGGCGCCAGTCTGCTTCTTGTAACAATTATTTGATTGAAAACAGCCCTTTAGTTAACAGATAGGGAAGTCGGATCCCACATCACAGGGGCTGGCGGAGGCTCAGGGCAGCAATGCTGGCCTAGCCGAATCCCACGGGGCTACAGTTTTGGGAAGGAGGATCCCTGTGGAATTTGTGGCGATAAGATTAATTATACGGAGGTTAGTACCTCATAGCACCAGAGCAACTGTAGAAAGGAGCCGGGCACTTCATTCCAGACAGAAGCCAATGCTCGCTCTCCTCGCCGGCCACCTTCCTAGGAAGTTACTGGCTTTCTTTTCTTTTTTTTTTTTTTTTTTCCGTAAGGAAAATGTTCTGTGATCTTGAGTAGCTAGAGCTAGAAGGCCCTAACGGGCAGACAATGTGATACATCGAAGTACACATTCATTTCCGAAACCAAAATCTTTTACAGACACACAAGTACCCACACGCACGAGAGAGCACTCCAAGGGGGCAGTTTAACCGACGGGGGGGCCACAGCAAACACTCACCATCGACTCAGCCACAGAGCGCTTTACTGTCATTTGACATGAACTCGGAAGGGAACTCGGAAGCCTGCGAGAGAAGGGATAAAAGGCACGGCGTTAGACAATCGGGAGGAGAAAGGGCCTCTTTCTCTTCTTTTCAAGTAGTCCACCGAACAGCGCGTTCCCATTAAACACGCTTACACTATGATTCAGACCAAAGGCAGATGCATTAACGTGTCAGAACTTAACAGCAATTTCACGCACGGCTCAACCTACAGGCACGTTTGTAAGAAAATAAAGTTAATGAGCTCCCGGGTAAGTGGCCGACTTGCAGCCATCTGGACAATGGTCTGCCAGCGGCAGCCCAGGCGACCGCCGGGGTGCGCGCAGCGAGCGGGGGCCCCGGGGGCAGGCCTCACCTGCAGGGACAGGATGCTGATGTCCGTGTTCAGGGTGGTCAGCGGCGTCCTGGACGCCTGGCTCTGCCCGGGTCGCTGGTGGTGCAGGCTGACAATAGTGGGGTGCGAATCCAGGGCGATCTGCAGGTCCAAGATGTAGTCGATGACGTGCTGCAGGATTTCCATCTTGCTCACCTTCTTGTTCTGGGGGATGCTGGGCACCAGCTCCTTGAGCTTGGAGTAGCAGTCGTTCATGTTGTACAGCAGGCTCATCGGGTCGTCCACCGGGGTTTTGCTCCGGGAGATGCCCAGGCTGTGGTCCGAAAGGCTGTTTTTCCTAACGGACCTCACTGGGCTGAAGGCTTTCATGCTGACCGCGGGGAAGGAAGGAGAGAGCGGGAGGGAGCGGGCTGCCCTGGAGCTCTAGCCGCGGCCGCCTGCAGAGCTTCCTGCGCTCGGCACCGGGATCGGCTCAGAATGAAGCCGCGAGCGCGGCGGGGCGGCTTTTATCTGCCTTCGCCGGGGCCACACGATTCAGCTTCCCTGTGTCCCCACTGGTGGAAAGGGACGTGTCCATCAGGTCGAGCGGGCGTCCCCATTGGCCGGCCCAGGCGCGGGGCGGAGCGAGGTTCTTCCGCGTTTGCAGCCAATCGTTGCGGGGTGGGCGGGACGGGCGCGGGCCCAGCTGGGGTGGTAAATAGAGTACAGTACGCGCGGGGCGGGAGAGGAGGGGGAAGGGGAGCATGAAGGGGCCGGCGGAGCCGCGAGGGGAGAGCCGGGAAGGAGGAGTGAGAAGGGGGATCTGTAAGAAAGGGTGGGAGGGGGGACCCCCCGGGAATCTAAATATGCATCTTAATTAATTCTGACTCCAACAGCGAGGCAGGACCCTCGCCGTCGGGTGTGCCCGACACCTTGGAGCTCTCGGCGGCCCTGGAATCTCAGCGCCCCGGGCAAGTTCTGTGCCGCGAAGGGAAAGCTGCGAGTCCGGGGATGACATCTAGATAGCAAGCATTTCTGCACAAAGGGAAAACAGCAAATAAGTTTGCCATTAACGAGTGACGTTTATACAGTGAGTTCCGTCTCTTAAGATAAGGAAAAGCTATGTGGAAAAAATCAACAACCCTGCGCGCGCTCAAAGGCAGCTCTAGTGCGGGATCTTGCAGCCCGGAGCAACGTGCAGGCGCTGTTGTCGACTCGGGAAAGTGAGTGCGTACTTACTGCAATCCCTGCTGGTCGCGGGAGCCGAGAGGCAGGACGCTCTGGGGGTGCCCTTTCTAGAACAGGACAGGACTGTTATAATTATCCTACGAATCGAAAATTACTAGGATAATTTGCGTATTGAAGCTGTATTTACTCCATACACTGCCCTTGACCCTGCAACGTAGGTAGCCAAGTCATGTAATTAATTATGCACGAGTAGTGATTTCTGGTGTCACATTCCAGCACCTACAGTATTTGAAAAGCCTTGTGACAGGTAGGTGGCCCTAGCCATCTTCATATATTTTTAAAAAATTATGTCATGTATGAGGTTTGGAATCTTGTCTGCCCTAGTACTGAAAGGAGCTTCGGGTTTTTGTGTTGTTGTTTTTTTCCCTGTAAATCTTTAAAAACTCACTCATGTGCTCTAAATTTTTTTAAAGTTTGCAGCTCTTTATTCAAACACTTTTCAGTTAATTCACACACAATTTCAGCTTCAACGCAGACCACAGTAAATAAGGTGTGCATTTTGAAAATCATACATCTCCAGCATACAATCAGCTGGAAAATCCCAGAGCACGTAATGTTTGTAAGAAGCTTGTTTATTTTTTTGTCTCGATCTCCACCTCCTATGCATTTAAAAGAGGAAGGGAGCAGAACTGGAGAAAAAGCAAAGCTTAATAATGAGGAAATGGTATTTTCCCCTTCAATTAATAATTAATTCCTCAGCTGGTGGGCCAGCCTCGTGCCTGCCCCAGGGCTGCTCCTTAGAGAGGCAGAGTGGGTGGTGCCGAGGTGGATGTCACTTTCGGAAAATCTGGCCGCTTCATTTTGGAGGATGGAGGTGACCGGTTTCCTGACTAGCAGGGAACTTTGAAGACTAGGCCTCCAGACGCCTCCTGCATCTCTGTCCCTGACAGTGTTCGATGAACATCCTCTCCGCCGGTATTACGTCTGGAAATGACCTGATACCCGCGTTCCCTACAGTCCCAGCCTTTTGATGGGCTTTGTGTGCATGTTTCTGTCACATACGTGCCACAGTGGAACAGATTTTGTTTTGACACTATTTTGGTTCATGATGTTATACTTTGACTATTTTACAGTAATAGCCAATGTAAACAAACATCTTTGGGATTCTCAGATTATTACTTGTGATTCTTGGACATTGCCGCTCTGAGATACTGTCGCGTTCCCAGCTTTTCCCAAGGACACCGTATGCGAACATCTGTGCCATCCCCACAGCCAGACTCCGGGCTCGTGGTGATGAGAGGGGTGCAGTGTGACTTCACACACTGGCCAAGTTGATTAAGGCAGTGTTTTCTCCCGTGATCATTTTTGTACCCTGATGTGGTAAAATTGCTAAATATGGTGAAAGGTTTCTGGTGTTTCTTTCTTTAGTTGCCATGTCAGGGTCCAGTCAGCCTGCTCGTGTTGAATCCGCCTCCACTGGCACGCTACCCAGTTCTATATTCATTTAAAGATCATTTTAGGGGGATGATGAGGCTGTATAAGTTAATGATTTAAAAAAGGGGGGGGGGGCTGAGTTACTGGTATGTCTCTCTCAGCAAGCCCAATACGGAATTACCTTTGAAATTACCTTTTCGTGGGGTGAATGGTACCGGGGCATTTTCGGGGTGGGTTACAAGGCAGCGAGAGACCGGCCAGAGGTGCCTGCGGATTTGCATCCGAGGCTCTGAAGTTCAAATGGTCCCAGCTGCAGAACGGGCCCTGGATCTGCGAGATCCGTGGGTGGTGGGAAGGTGTGAAGGGCTTCCGGTTGGGGGTGGAGACATCGTCCCCTCATTTAAAGCAACACGCCGGCCCGGGAAGTTCCCCGAACAGGCTCCGGGGCCCTCACCGGCACTCAGTCTCCAGCCCAGCCCGGCCGCCGGCTCCCCGCGCGTCCAACCCGGCGCATTAATCAGAAGCAGCCCCGGCTCCGCGCGCGTGATGCCACCGGGGGCGGGAGGAGCCTGCGGGGGGAGGGGGGGCTCAAGGTCCTCCCTGCACATCTGGCCCGGTTGGGAGCGCTCGCCTTTCTTCCCTCCGGTTTTGTTCTCACAGCTGTGTCCATTCCGCCCGTGACCCCCCGAGTGATCCCTGACAGGTGATGAATTGGCAGCGGCGGCGGCGGCGGCGGCGCGCGCGGGCCAGGCCGCGGCGGGGCCGGAGCCGGAGCCCCGGAGCAGACTCTCTGGCGCCAGGCGCGTGACGCCGCCCATTCACGCCGCCCTGCAGCCTTGTCCTCGCGGCGCCGCTCAGGCGGCTGCCATGGCAACCGCGCCGTCACTCAGCGCGCGTGCCCAGCTGATCAATGCCTGCGAGGCCCGGCGGTCCCAGGCTCGCCCCAGCCCGGCCGCCCGGCCCGCGCGCACCTGCAGCCGCTGCACGTCTTAAGTTTCCAGCGATTTGGGGGAAGGAAGGAGGACGCGGAGGAAAAGAAAAGGGGGGTCGGAGGGAGAAGAAAAAGAGCCAGGGGAGGGAGAAGAAAGAACTCTTCCTTTTTCCGAAGGAGGCACAATGTAGATTAGAGGTTGCCAAAGCAAAGGATTTTGTTTTATTGTATTTGTTTTTGCAACCGAGGTCTTCACGGTGGGGCTGGCGCGAGGGAAGGGCGGATGGGCAGAGGTGACTGTCATAGCGGATGGCGAGATTTACTTATTGCTTTGGGCCCAAGTAGGGATGATTGTGATACCGGGCTCCTAAAAATACCTTCAAAAGACCCCCCCCCCTTCCTGGGTACTCTTGGAGGTGGCACTAAAAACCACCAGACTTTTCCAGAACAGCACCCCTCCACCGACCTGGGGGAGGCGGGAGGATGTGCACCCAGCCGGGTGCTCCCAGCCTCCCCTGGGCGGAGCAGCATCCGCGCCCTGATTACCACTACCCAGCGGGCAGAGGCGTCTTAGCGCCTTTCTAAGGCTGCGTTTTCCACTGAGAACGTCCAGAGGCCAGAAACTTCCAGGGCAGCCGGTGGACGCAGACACCGCCTCTGTCCTGGCTTTATGTCTGGGGACGTCCAGTGCAGTGCCAGGTGCCCACATTCCCGACAGGTCCTGGCCTCAGCATCCCGGAAGGGGGCTCCTCTGCAGTTAGTGTCGCCAGCAGTTACTTGTCGAGGGTCCTGGAGAGGCGGTCCTGATCCGGGATGTCCTCTGCGGGCCCCAGTCTGGGGAGAAGGGCCCGCCTGTTCCCGACCTCGTTATCTGCTTGAGCAGTTTGTTGTGGTTTTCGAGGAAACAGCATCTGGATTACATGAGGACTCAAGTTTTAGCTTTCTTCGTTTATTCAATACCTTGGCCAGAGGGAGCCCTTGCCCTGGGACCAGATAACCGAATTTGGGCTTAAAACAGCCTCAGATGGGGGGCAGCGAGAGGGGAGAAAGAGGAGCAAAGACACAAAAAGCAAACAAGGGGATGTTTATTTTTCTCCCTTTGGGTATTTTTGAAGACCTGCCTAACCTCTACTTGTCCAGTACAGCTCATTGCACTAACAAAGCGCCTCACCCCCCGCCAAGGCTGAGCAGCCCTCTGGCCAGTCCTGGCCTGGTCCCTTGGAGGATTCCCCAGGTCCTGCCCTCCCGGAACCCCAAGAGCACCCGGGAAAACGCGCGCTGAGTCCAGCTACTTTCAGCCGTCTGACCTCCTGGGGAGATCACCTTTCAGCTGCGTTCAAAGAAAGCAAAGTTGGGGAAGTTTGGCGGAGGGGCCGAGTTAACTACCAGCACTGCAAATATTTAGTTACAAATGCTGTGAAGTGCCCCGGTTAGTGGCTGTGTTTGGCCTTCACAAAGGATTTTCCTGGGACTTTTGTTCCGGTCACCCAATGAAAAAAGAAAAGTTAACTTGAGCGAGAGATAACGTCTTGGAAAACAATCCTGGGCCGCCCGCGAGCTGGTGGGCGCGGGGCTGGCGTCGCTGAGTCTGCACCACCCGGGTGGGCGCGGCTCCGGGGCCACCCCCATGGGGAGCCCAGGCCACCGCGGAGACCCCAGCTGCTGCCCCGCCCCCACCCCGCGCGCACCCAGGTCGGGGCTAACCGTGGTCCTGTGGGAATCTGTGGCCGCCCTCTGCAGCCAGCCACAAGGGCCGGCTTGTCCGGAATCGAGCTACATCCTAGTATTACAGCGCAGCACCGCAAGCAGAACCCGAGGCCCTGGCTTTCCAGGCCCTAACAAGAAACACATTGTGCTTTTTGGCCGAAACCACGTTTGCGCCCTGGCCTCTCGGATGCCGCGCGCCAAGTCCATGACTTCAGAGGGGAGGAACCCGCCCTCCCCGCACCATGT